TGATGTAAAGAGGAGCTGGGGATGTCTTTTATCATATTACCTTATAGTTCTTCCTGTATTTGGGTTCATGAGTAGGAATTTACATCAAAATGAACACACAAAGCTTGTGTGAATTTTTCAGGTAATTGTTAACTGCTCTCAGAGCTTTCCACAGATATACTTGTAAGAGTATAATTTCAAGTTCATTCCAATAATATGTCATTTATTTGTTAAGTATCCATTTTTTAGTATCTCAATTTCACACAAGAAACAAGGGAGTGGAGAAAATATGTATAATTGAGTTATATTCTTAAGTTGGTATTGAAACATGTGATAATAATCGATATTAGTGGATGGTCTAGAACAACAGCCTATATTTTTTTGGTACAATTCTAGAAGTGTATATATGTCACTTTATTTTGTCATCTGTCATCTGTCTTATTTTAAATGCTGGTTCTATATGAGTATCTAAATATTTAATTGAAATTTACCGACATAGGCATAGTTTATCGGTAACTAACTTGGAGGTTAAGAAAATGTAATTAAAATTTTATAAAGCTGAATCTAAATAAATAATTTAACTTACATGGTTCAAAAAAACTTGATTGATTTGGTTCAAGATTTTACCTAAATTAAGTTTGGGGTTGCCGGAACTTATTATTAATTTTAAAAATATTTATTTACTCAACATAAAAATGATATATATTTATATTTATATTTATTTTATTTTATTTAATAATTTTTTTATGAATTATCTATTCTACATACGACTTTTAAAAATAAAATTTTAAGTTTTTTTTAGTACTTTTTGAACATATAAATAAACATCGAGTTATAGATCTTAATTCGATATTAGATAATATATAGATAAATATTTAAGATATTATCATTTATTTTGTTACAAAGATTCGATGTAAATATACAAATCGGTTGAAAAATCAAATTAGGGGGTCAAAAATAAGGACATTTCTTCCAATTTCTCCCAATGAAACTCTTTTTTATATTACGGAACTTATTTCCAAACCAATATTCATCACCAAGGAACCAGAAAATATAATAATAAACATAATAAACAAGAAAAAGACTACCTTCAACACGTGGCGGCTTCGGCGTAGGGGCATCGTTTAAGCACGATTTTTGTCGTTCGAGTTGTTGAATTCATTTTGTTCCGGAAAAAAACAGAAACCTGTATGTGGAAAAAATTATCTCGGATGAAGTCCTGTTACGAAGGAATGAACTGTGGATTTGCTGAGATTTCCGATAGAGAAATTGGTATCGGTCGACCGAGAAACTTCTCCCGCCGATTCAGTGCTTCACAGGTTCCTGAAATTTCTGTGTTGAATTTTAATCCGGTTTTATCGTTTTCTTTCCAATCAATTCAGTAATTGCTAAATTTTGAATTCGATTTCCTTCTTAATTTTGCTTTGCCTGTTACCGCAACTGCAACATGTATCTTATTTACTGAACTTAATGCAGATTATTGTAGAGCAGCTGAATCTTGAAAATAAGTTAAATGGTCACGATGGTTGTGTAAATGCTGTAGAATTTAACTCGACTGGTGATCTTCTCGTATCCGGTTCCGATGACAGCAAAGTTATACTGTGGGATTGGGCAAGAAATTCTATGAGGTTTTCGTATCCTTCTGGTCATTTGGATAACATATTCCAGACCAAAATTATGCCATTATCTGATGATCAGAAAATAGTAACCTCAGCTGCGGATGGCAAGGTGATTTTCTACAATGGCTCCTCTGGTTTTGTTTGTTTCATGAATTGAAATATTCTGCAATCTTCACACATTTTTTTCGATTCGTTTACTTCCTTTTTGCAAGAAAAGGGGCTTTATTGCTCAAGTTTTTGTTCATTTTTAGGCCATTTATCTGTCTAGCTTTGACTTTTATTGTTTTCAGAGTCTTCCATTCTCTTGCATCCTTGAATTATTGAGGCTTTGAGGAAGAAATATTTGTAACTTGTAAGGTTGCCTGATCAGTCTTCATCAAGTTTCTTGTAAAATAAGTTAGGCTCTCTAAAATGAAACTGTGTTTACTGTTAGTTCCAATGAGAAGTCACTCTTACGTCTATATTGTTTCTCATGACTTCAGCATCGTTTTTGGGTCTATCTTTTGCCTAATATTCCCGCTTCAGATTGGGTCAATTTCAAATAACTTAGGCTCCCTTTGGTTACTATTTAGTTTTTAATTTTTGAAAATTATATTGGTTTGCTCACAATTTCTTTGGTATGGTTCACATTTCTTAAGAACGCACTTGAATTTTTAGCCAGCAAGTTCTTGAAAACTACCTTTTTAGTTTTCAAAATTTAGCTTATATTTTACTCTTGGGTATTGGTATTGTGGCAAAAGGCTTGGGTATTGACACCCATGATCCAAGTTTGAGTCCTCGAGTGTTTAGAAATAAAATTTAGCTTATATTTTAAAAATATTTCTAAAATGTGGATAACAAAACAAAGAAATACCTGGGTGAAAGTAGTGCTTACAAACTTAATTTTAAAAAATAGAAACTACAAACGAAATGGTTATCAAATGGTCCTTAATTATTATATACGAACAACAAGATCAGGTTCTACTGCGAGATAGAAGACAGAACTGAAGGTGTGTATTGTAAAATTGATGTGTTGATGGTTATAAATTGTAGAAGATTGATCTGGTTAATCGAGAATAGTTTTTTTCTTTCATATTGTGTCTGCAGTTTCCATATTGTATATCAATTTAAAGTATGTGTGGAGACATATGGTTTTGATCCAACTTTGTCTTCTCTAATCTTGTAAAATTTGGGAATGTTTTCTACTAAAATGTTTGTTCTTGTTTTGTTTTTTTTCTCTCTTTGTTGTGCAGGTAAGACTTGGGCAACTCTTGGATGATGGCAGAGTTGTTACGAAAATGTTGGGAGAGCATCAAGGCTCTGTTCATGAACTTGCAGTGGAGCCTGGAAGCCCACACATACTTTACAGCTGCGGCGAAGATGGTCTTGTCCAGCATGTAAGTGAATATGCTGTATCTGTATGATCATCCATTGAAGCTTTTGTTTTCCATTTACGACATGGATTACTTTTTAATTCCGAATTTGCAGTTCGATCTACGCAACACTTCTACCACAAAACTTTTCTATTGCACCTCCTTTACTGAAAGAAGCAAGCAGCCTCCGAAAAGTGTTGAACTGAATGCCATTGTAATTAACCCAAGTAATCCAAATTACTTTGCATTGGGTGGTTCGGACGAATATGCACGTTTGTACGACATGAGAAGTTGCCGAGGTGATGCATTAGTAAAATCTGACAGAGTTCTTGATACCTTCTGCCCACATCATCTGATCCAAACTAACAATTTCCACATCACGGGATTGGCTTTCTCAAATTCAAGTGAGCTGCTAATTACTTACAGTGACGAGCTTATTTATTTGTTTCAGAAGAATATGGGGCTAGGCCCCTCTCCATTGACTGCCTCATCTGAGAATTTGTTGATGAAACTTGAACAGCCACAGGTTTTCTCTGGACACAGAAATTCAGCAACAGTTAAAGGTGTGAATTTCTTTGGCCCCAATGCAGAATATGTAATGAGTGGCTCTGATTGTGGTCATATATATATTTGGAAGAAGAAGGAGGCCGTAATCGTTAAGTCAATGGTCGGTGATCGTAACGTTGTAAATCATATCGAGCCCCATCCACATCTGCCTATTCTTGCTACTTGTGGCATTGAAAATGATGTAAAGATCTGGACTCCCATCGCTTGTGATGTTCCTCCGTTGCCTGATGACATAGAACAAGTAATATTACCACTCTCAAGTGCCTTGTTCCTTTGGTTCATCTCATTCTCTCTTCTGCATGAAGTTTCTGAAGTTAGTTTAGTAGGCTCTTGAATTTTAAAATGTATCTAATAGATCCCTAACTTATTAGACACGTTTACAGTTTAAAGACCTATTAGATACTTTTTAACATTCAAGGACCTATCACATATACTGTAAAAGTTCAGGCAACAAACTTTTAATCATTTTTAAACCGGGATTTTCTGCCTACCTGTTTTGCATTAAAAAGAATTTATACTAACAAAACTTGCTTGTACTTTGATATGATTCATCGAAAAGAGATGAAAATCGAACTGCAAATTACATGTAATTTTTAAGAAATGGGGCATGAAATTCAGTACTCATTCAGTTTCTCAAGAGATCTTATCTTACTATGGATGCGTCATTGAGCAGATAATGGAGTCCAATAGGCAAGGAAGAGAAGACCACTCTCTGGTGACCCTTACTCCTGATGTTATCATGCACGTCCTACGCCTCCAAAGAAGACAGGCATCTGCATTTACAGAGAGAAGACGCACCACAGCTGATATCGACAGCGATGAAGAAAACGAGTGGGAAGCATATAATCTGGAAGTCGTAAATGGTAATGCCTCTTCTGAAGAAGATCCCGCAGAAGTTTCTTCTGAGTGTAACATCAGCTAGCACTCCACATTAAGAAAAGTAAGTGATGGTTTCTCTGAGTTTGTTTTTCATTGCAAATATTTTGGATCACATTGACAGCCAGCCCATCAAAGTCCTCAATAAGTTGTGTGTTTCTTTTATTTGTATTGATGTGTCTGAATGTGACAAAGGAGTCATGTGCTGAAACTTTCAGCTATGTTTATGAGATTTTCATTCGTGCTTCACGTTATATTCAGCTCAGCAGTGTGAACTTGTGGAATATAGAGCTTGAAGAAACAACCTCGCAGTCGCATCTCGTCATAAAATTGCGAGTAAGATTCAAACTCCCTAACTATTTGGAAGCATTCTGTTTGATTCATTTGTTTCGTTGACATTTGCATTTGTATATTTCAAAAAACAAGTCAAAAAGAGGACAAATGCACAACGAGGATGTTTGGTAAGTTTAGTGGATAAAATCTGGCAAATTTTCAGTCAAGTCATTGTTTTGTAAGAATAGTGCATAGCATCCTACAAGCTTGCTTTTACAACTACATAGTATTGAATTGATTCATTGTCTTGAAATTAAGATATATGTAAATTTCAAATATTGTTTAGTGAGCTTTTGAAAAAATTTAGTGGGTTGCCATTCATATTACCATATTTGCAAATATAACAACAAGATTATGATTTTGCAAATGGATTTCGTGTGTTAGTTTAGGTTTTAGCTGTTTTTTTTTTCTTATTAATATTTGCAAATTCTTGGTGTTTTCCTTGTGCAAGTCTTTGTTTAATATTAAAAATTTCATTGACTGAAGTTGAGAGAACAGCTGGGGGCGGCTTGACCAATCAGCCGTCCAAGCCGCCCTGCTTCTTAGTGTACGACTTGGAACACAAGTCTTTCTGCTTTCCCATTGCATATTTATTATTCTTTGATAATGCGATTATTATTTTTTTATTGCGATTTTTTATGAATTTTTCATCTTAAGGAAATAAGAAAATATTGACTTTTAAAATATTTATTAATATAGAACTAAATCATATATAAAAGTTAACCAATTTTTTCTTCTTCTTCTTTTTTTTTTTTAAATCCGTGTGTCCGGGCTAGCTTGCGCGCACCTCGACTAATCACGGGTCAACCGCCTGACCCTATTACCTTTGGTTGACAAGGTAACTCGTAGGATATTAAATCCTAAGTAGATGACCACCATGGTTTGAGCTCATTCCCTCTAAGTCCTTTACTATTTACAGACCACTTGAGCCATTCCATGATGGTTAATTTTTTCTTCTCTTTAAGATTAAAAAAAAAAATCCAGTAGCTAGGCTATTTACAAAATTATTATAATTTAAAAAAATATACAAATCTAATTTCTTATTAATCACACGTTCATTTTGTTAGTGTTTTTTTATTAAATAAAATTAATTATTATATTTCTACCTATAAAAAGATAAAAATAAAATAGCAACATGGGCAGTAGAACTAGAACCTAAATCAACTTCGTAGTGATTTAATTTTTGGCTCTATTATTTTATATGTTTTTATTTGATCTCTGTAAATTTTAATTTGATCTCCATGATTTAGTCACACATCACGAACAATTTGTAAAAAGTGAGTATGTAGTACATTTTCTATTTACAAGAACTTCGTATTTTTCCATATGACTATTAACTATTAAAAATTCAGTAAAAAAATAGAGTGAACAAAAAAATATAGATTTTCAAATGGGCGAAAAAATGATGTTGAAGAACTGAAAAGTGAAAACATATTGACTTGGCTGCCAGCTGCGAAAGAAGATACAGGCATGGAATCCTTTTTATTTATTTATTTATGTATTTATTTTAGTACAACAAGACCTTTCCTCTTTTCCTTTTTGCACTTTATCCATTTTTTTTCTGGTTATTAAAATCAAGCACCCATCACATTCAATACTGCTTGGTGGCATAAATTGGGTATATAAATACAACTCTTAAACCAACCTCCATTTTCATTCTATCAAATTCATCTTTCTTTTAGTGTCCTTGGTGGTTCACTGATCTAAATTTAGTCATGTCATTTGCTTCATCTCGGTCGAAAACCAGACGATACTCAAGCCTGCCACTGAGCAGAGGCAACGTCAAAGCTCAAATTTTCAAGAGTTTTTGTGATTTTGTAGTGTCTTTAACCTCCCATGTGGGAGTGGCGCTGATGAAGAAGTTTGGTCGAGGAAAAATCCACGATGGCTGATTCTCACAAATTACACGCAAAACTCTCCTGCTTAATTTCTTGTTTAAGAAATGGTTGCTCTTGCCTCCCCTCCATCTTTATAAGTGTTTTTCGTTTTAAGGTTGGAGGTTATCTATTTTGGGAACTACTTTTAAAATACTATTTTGATGGATTAACTTTAATACTTGTTTTGTTTTAATATATCAACTTTTTAATATTTTGTTTTAATCTACCAACATTGCTTTTAAAATTACTCATCAATAGAAATTTGAATTTGTTTTTAAATTCGATATCGGTTTCAAATGTTTCTCTCTAAAAACTACCACTTTTAGGTAAAATATTCTTTAGTTGGATGGTTTAAAAAATATTCTGATTTTTTTATGCAAAATTAGAAGTTGAAAGTTCGGAAATTCAAAGGTAAGAATTACGAAAATTCAAAGATGAAAACATGGTTTAAAGTTTTATTATTTTTATTTTTTTATTATAGTAGGTTTTTTAAGATGAAAGTCGAGTTTGTATTTTTTATATACTTTTTTTTTTCCTTTTTGAGTACAACAAGTCAAGTTTGTGTCGTGTAGTACTTTGCTATTGTTATTTGGTTTCTATCTCATATCAAGAGATGTTTGTATTTTAATTTATTTCATTCTCATAATATATGGTCTATTTTTATGGAAATTTATTGCTGTTGATCAATAAAATAATTTTGAAAATGTAGATATCTTTTTAATGGTATGATATCGTGTCTACATTATCAATTTGAAGAATCACATACTAAACTTAGAATTTGAATTAATCTACCAATTTGCTAGGTTGGCAGGCTAAATAAATCTGCAAAAATGAACATGGTTCCGCGATAATTAGCATATATCTAAAAAAAACTAAAAGAAAAATATTTATTTTAATCCCTAATAATTTGTGTTAATTAATTTTTACCATAAACTTTCAATTTCATTAAGATTGCACCTTAAATTTGAATAAGTGTTAGCAACGTCACCTTGCATTGTAAAAATTGTACAATTTTTATCCTAGGATAAGTTTTAGTTTGAAAATTTATTTTTCGTTTGTCAAATAAATTATAAAACATATAAATGAAGAAAAAAAAAGAAAAAAATCCTTTAAAGAAGTTTTGTCAAGTGAAAAGTGAATAGACTAGCTATTATCCAAAGGCTAATTACCATCAATTCTCTAAACCGACTATGTAATATTAATTCTTGTTTGGTTGCTAATTTGTTCTTTTTTAATACAATACATGAAGGTAGAGATTCAAATTCACCATTTGGTTAGAGATAGATGTCTTAATTAGTTGTGCTAAATTGAAATTGGCAGTTAGTAAATTTGTTATTAAGTTGAACCACACATATATAGGTTCATATTTATGATATGTGAAATGACTCAATTCTAAAATACTAGTTAATGTTCCTATTTTCAACTTTTATTTATTTTAATTCCTATACTTATTTTAGTCTTTATACTTTAAAAAAGTGACCACATTTTAGTCTTTACTTGTAACTCATTTATACAAATTTAGAATTATGTTTTAAGAAATTTATCGAGTGATATCTCATGTTAAAATTATTATTAGAGAAAGAGATAAATAATAAAATGAATAATAAAAATAGTCAATTTTTAAAAATTTAGATACAAAATTGACATTTGGAAAGTATAAGAATTAAAGTTGAAATTACAGATGTTTTTAAAATATACAAATCAAAACGAATTAATATAGGAATTAAAAAACCTAAAATTTTCAATAAATTGTAAAAACATAGATAAAATATTAAAATACAAACAGTATTAACATAAATTCTAGTGAAAAAAATGTTTAGGTTTGAACTCATTTAAGTAATATTAGATATTTTTGTAACCTTTTTTTTTCAAAAGCGTCCATCAAACATCAATATTCAGGTAAATGCACATATAATTGCATATCGATGATTAAGTTTTCTAAAATTGACAATTCAAATTCTCGTCTTTATAATTTCTCGAAAAAAAAAGAAAGGAAAAAAATTCATCACTTCTAAAAAAACTTCAAAGTATAACCCTATGGATTAAAGCTATGTTTAATTTTAGAATAACGATAGAAGCAGTCGTTCGTATTTTTAAAATTAAAAAAAAAATAACTTCAACCATATAATGAAGAATAATTTAAAAACTGATTTAAATTTAAATTAATTAAGTTCAATTTTCATTATTTAAGAAAAGGTACGAAAAATCACTCTTATAATTTCATCACTAAGTCAAAATATGGTGATGGTGTCTTCAGTTTTGCCGCCATTTCAACTGCTTACCAGATCAAGCAACCATTCTAGGGTTTGGCATTTGGCGGGAAAGCAAAAAGGGGACTGAGAGATTGAAGGAGATAGAATGGCGAACAAATTAATCAGTCAGATGGGATTACCCAGATCGATAGCTAATATTTTTGCAGCGCGTAATATTACCACAGCCAAGGTAATGATGAAACTTCGGAACTTTGTGGTTTCTCTCCATTAATTGCCAATTTATTCATCCAGATCGTGTTTAATACGCAATAGGAACCGAGATGAAGCATAAACTTTATGTAGATTACAATTTAACACGCTACTGCCTGCTGCAGTTTCTCAATTCACCACAAGTTGGAGGTCCTTGATGTAGAAATTGAATAATTGCAATGGTTCTAAATTTAGAGTTAGGTCATAATGTTATGTGTTGAGCGAGATTTTCTGTTTTGAGTTATTTTTCCAGGACTGTTCAGTTGTTCCTGACTGCATTATTTTTCAGATCTGTAGTCTTAGTCGAATTACAGTATTAGTTTATTTGTTGTCTCAGGAAGCTTTGTCTTTAACTGAATTTGAGTTGTTGGAGTTATTGGATGTGGGATTATCTGAAGTTGCATTTGCAGTTGCACACATTAGTGAAATTACTTCTCCTCCTTATCAGACTGTAAGCAATTAGTTGACTCTGTTTAATTGGTTGTTGAACGTGATTTCTTTTTTCTTGCTTTTAGAAGTGATGTCCTACTTGGGTCTGCAGGTGCTTTCTTTGATGGAGCAAAGACTTCAAAATGAGCATTTAGCTGGGCATCTTTCCACATGTTTAAAAGGTTTAGACGAGGCCTTATTTGGTGGAATCCCATTTGGCGTCCTGACAGAACTCGTTGGTCCAGCTGGAATTGGCAAAACGCAAGTGTGATTCTTTCTTAGTTTTCTGTTTTGTTAATTATCTTCATTTCTATATACTGAAAATTTTCACCGATTTGAGTATCATTTGAGAATATATGATTTCTTGGAAGGTGAAGCATTTTAAACTAATTTCTTCTGACTTGTTACTTTTGTTGGTCGTTGAATTTCAGTTTTGCTTGAAACTCTCTTTATTAGCTGCTCTGCCACCAAGCTATGGAGGTTTAGGGGGCCGTGTCATATATATTGATGTAGAATCTAAGTTTAGTTCCAGAAGGTATTTTCAGTCACCATGCTATTGGTCGTATATCTTGCTATATCTTGTGTAATGGGTGCACGACTTTTTGGTTTGTCATCTCTCTGTCTCTTTCTGCAGGATGATTGAAATTGGTATGAGAAGCTTTCCTGATGTATTTCACAAGAAAGACATGGCACAAGAGGTATTAAACTCATTATTATCTCTTCCTTTCAATTTTTAATCTGAAGTGAATAAGATGGATCATTCTCAATTTACATTACAGATGGCTGGTAGGATTCTTGTTTTGCGGCCAGCATCACTTTCTGAATTCACTGAGAGGTTTGGACCAAAGTAAAAAATTGTTGTTTAGCCTAGCCATGTAAATGATTTGTGAAAAAGGAAATGACAACATAAGTTAGTCTACAAGATTAAGTAAAATATGTTCTCACATATTATGGAATCGGAGGTATTTGATATAACCTATGGATATTCGCTTAGAGTACCACTGAGGTGGTTATGAGGACTGAGCTTTTGTGGCTATCCAAATATAACCTACGGATATTCATCCATCATTGGTGAGAATAATGAAGCTGGTAAAGGGAAAAGAAAAATGAATACAGCACTTGCTTTTCCAATATCTGCATTGTTGAAGCAATACGGTTATGTACTTCAAGATATATTGTCATGAAATGTCCATGAATACTCAACTCATTTTTGTTGAGATTTTCAATATCTGGCATGATAAGAGGAGTTTCTGCTGTCGGTTTCCTTTCCAGTTTGCAGAAAATCAAGGTTTCACTTCTTGAGCAAGAAGTAAAGCTAGTAATCATTGATAGCATGGCAGCTCTTATTACTGGGTAACTCAGCTTTTTTTCTTGACTTACTCTAGCTTCTGTCCGGATGAGGTCTCCGTTATAGCTTCAGTTGGAGTCTCACTGGATTGTGTTTAACTAGCTTCAGTTTTTCCGTACGTAGATTTCTTCTATAGATGTTTCTGTTTATTCCATTTTTCACACAATTATTAACTAAGAGTCTGTTTGATAATAACTTTGTATTTTTTTTTTCATGCTCATTTTTTCCTTTAAATCTACTTTGGATAACTCTTCTAAAATCTTAGCCGAATTTTAAAGCTTAAAAATAGTAGTTTTCAAGAACTTCATGTTAAATAAATATCTAAGATTAAAAGAGTGGAAAAGTTAACTAAAAAATGAACAGATAAGCTCAATTTTTAGAAACAAAACTATTTTCCAATGGGCCAAAGATGTCAAATCTCAGTTTATTTGGTCTACTGTTGTGCTATAATGTAGTTTTGAGGAGAATTCTTCATGTTATTTGAAACAAAACTGCATTGGGTTAAGAATGTCATTCATAGCGCATTTCTGGTAGTTTCCTTCAAATGCTTAAACTAAGGGTTCTTTTTCCAGGGAATATGAGCAAGGGGCACCCATACAGAATTCTTTGGGTTGGCATATTTCGTTTATCAAGTGAGACTTATTTCTACCGTAGTTACACCCGTTGGATTTTGTTGTGTTTTGTAACTGTTCCATTTGTCTTTCGAGTGCTGTCATTTGATTTCCCACTATTTCAGGTCAATTGCTGAGTTTGCACGAATTCCAATTGTTGTGACAAACCAAGTTCGATCCCGGAACAGGAATGAGGTTTCCCATTATTCTTTTCAAGGTAGGGTGATATTATCAATCTGAAAATTTATTAAATTCGTGGACTGACTATAGCTTATCTGTTGCAGAACTGAGCAGCAGTGGAGCTCAAGGATGTTCTCCAGGATATGACTCTCATCTTGTTGCTGCCTTGGGTGTTCATTGGGCTCATTCTGTGACAATCCGTTTGGTGCTTGAAGCAAAATCTGGTTGGTACACTTTTTACCGAATGCTTCCTTTTAGCTGGCATTATGCATAAAATGACACTTGAGGTGTCGATAGATCATTATCTTACAGACATCTTCTCAACTTGTTCCAGTTTTAAATGAAAGGGAGTGGTTAAAACCAGAGAAGTTGCTTCTAACGATGTTTCATAACTCATCATTTTAGTCTTCCTCCTGTAGGTCAGAGGTTCATCAAGCTTGCAAAGTCTCCAATGTCACCACCTCTAGCTTTCCCTTTCATCATAACCTCATCCGGAATTTCATTGCTGAGTGACAGTGGAAAAGAACTGAGTGGAACAGAGATCAATGAGATTCACTGTCAAGGTTTCTCCCTATGAAGAATAGTACCAACATAAACTGTGCCTTCCCCTTCATTTTTCTCTCCCATTGGTCAAAAATCTAGATGACTTAAATTAGAAGCTCGATGACACTGGAAATAACTATGACATGTTTACTCTGTTGTTAAACTTCAGTCTAATTATCAAAACATTTGAAACTGATAATTGGAAATTCAATATCATTGCCTGCATGATGCTAATGAAATTGCCCCCCAGCCTCATTGTGTGAAAAATTTCCACCAAGGATACAAGAAGTTGATGCTTTCTGTGTATTATATTCTACTATTCAATCTAACATATATATCACACTGGGTTTCTTTTTAGCTTTGTTATCTTTTAGTCATTTGATTTTACGACGTTAACGCAGCATACAGTGATATTATCAGCAACCATTGGGAAAATCAGCAGTGACTATTGCCACTCAAATGTGAAGGGGACTGCTAACATCTCTGGCTTGTCATGATGCACATACGAGAGAGACTTGTACTGAATTGGTGGTTTCCTGTTATTAACGGTCAATTAACAAGGAAATGGTTAATCAATTCCTAATTATTATTTTCATTCTCATTTCATGCGTGAATTTTCTTTCCTATTTCGTGAAAATCCATAATTTATTCTACCATTCTCTTTTTTTTTTCATGTTGTCTTTACAGGATAGCTTAGAACTAACATGCGGAACATAGAAGATGGAAAAGATATCAAACCTGCGGATGATATTTGTTGAGAGGAATTGTCTGCCTTAGTTGCTTAGTGATAAAAATGTTTGGAAAATACAGGCAGGACCTTATTTTGATTAATTAAAATGCTGGAACAAGGTTAGCACCAATTTGATCATCCTTCAGCCAGCTCCTATTTGAGACAATAATGCTTCATGAAATACCTACAGCCATTGAAGTTCTATATGTTATAGAATATGTTTTGAAATTTTTAGATTATGCTCCTGAAATGGTTGCCATCAATACTTGAAATGCTGCTTTTCTTCTGAATATTATCTTGATGGTGGAGGGCCAAAATGTTTGTTATTGTTCGGCCAACTGAAGGTGGCGATTGCCACATCTGGTGTAGTAGACTAGAGTTTCAAAGATTGCAAAACATTAGACTTTGGAACTCTTGGAACACAATGGCGCTATAGAAAGCATAGAATTTGTGTTATGGACTAATATATTTTATGGTCACATGAGTGCTTCATCATGCCAAATTTCAAGTACAGCAAGCTCGAGAAGGAAAAGAAAATGAGTTTATGAACCTGAAGGTTTGGATTCAATGATACCCTGTTCTAACACTTGTTCTACTTGAGGAAAAAAGGAAATTTGAAGTTAATTTTATTTTTTATATTTCAGGATAAGGAAATGGCTTGCTGGAAGACAGGTCGAGTTCTCCAAAACCTGTTTATGGGTATTTTTGCAAGTGCTTGTCTGGAAAGAAAGTTATCTCGATACTGCCAAATTAAGGAAGGTGGTTTGCTGAAACACTTTTCATTTTAAAATTGCTGATATGTTTGCATATAACTTATGCTCTTTCTAGTAGATTCTCCATTCTCATTAATTTATTTGATTGTAGGTGATTTAACTAATCCTAGCCACTTTATATTTTATAATTAGAAACCTGATCAAGATCCACCAATTACCTTTAACTTAGAAAAATAAGGAATAAAGAATGCAGCAACTTATCGAATCCTTCAACAGAGGAAAGGAATATTGGCCTGCAATTGTCACAAACGAAAGAGCAGACTAACAGAAAAAGAACAGAAAACGAAAAACAAAACAAAGAAAGAAAGAAAATCGAAGTTGTAGAAACATAGAACTTTGGGATGAAGCCAGCCAGTTAGAAACATATGTACTGTCCTTAATCCGGCTTGAAAATTGTCCTTTTCTGTGCAAATAAAATCTTGTTCTTGCCTTTAGTAGTTTTGTCTTTGTTGGTTGTGTAATTTTCCACATGTTGGTCGTATGTATAAGGTTAGGTTATTGGCTGTCTCTTGACCATGCTTTGCTTTGGACGTAATATTAAAAAAAGAAAAAGAAAAAGAGAAGAAAGTGTGCTTTATATGATACGATTTATGTTGGGTGGAGTGACAATGCCATCAAACCACAAGCCTTTTAGTTAAACTCAAACCTTCAATTTGAAGAATGAATCACACACATAAATCAAAGCCCTACCAGCTATTCCCCTGTACCATTGCTTTTAAAAGACTATTCACTTGGGGCAAACAAACAAACGAACAAAAAAAAAGATAAAGAAATCCCTCGGAACAAAATCTTTTAGGATCTGCTTCAATAAGATTGAAATTTGAAAATCCTTCAAAACAGGACGAGAGTGGGGTAAATTTTTTAGCCAATTACTTTCCTGTTCCACTTGCCTACCTACTAAAGAACTTGAGTTTAGAACATTTCTTTTTGCTATTTATTATCATTTTGTTTTGATAAAATCCTCCAAGACACCCGGCCCTTGCCGGTTTAGAGGTATCTTGAACTTTCCGGTGAGCTTAATACAAAAGATCTTTGATGTCTCCCTAAGTTCGAACCTTGGGGTCATAGGAGAGGGAGCATTATGAAAAAGAGAAAGGAAAAAAAGTTTAAAAAAGCACACACAAAAGGACTGTAAAGCAGAAACTGGGTTGCTTTTGTTTTAGCCCATGTAGACATGAAGTACTTGCAATCATCCTCTATTGGTTGGGTTTTTTAAACAAAAAAGAAAAGGTTTTCCAGAATTGGAGGTGTGGGGGAAGGGAGGAGAGTCCAAACATTGACATTTTCTTTTCTCTTAACTTTTTAAAGGTTTCCTCTTCTCTTTTCTGCCTTTTCCATTTTATAGGATCCCATTTTGACTGATTACTCTCTCTCTCTCTCTACAGATTATGGTGTGTATCTATTTGACATGTGGGAGTCATCGGCTGCGCCAGCAACCGAGGTATTATTAATGCATTAAAAAGAATTGCAAATTGGTCTTAGAACTTGGCACTTTTTTTTGTTTTTTTAATGAATGTCTGAACATGTTTAGCTTTTAAGTACAGAAATGATCCGATGCTGTTTGCAATAAATTAATGAGACATAATACCCTTGTTAGTCACTAATACGTTGGACTTGGCTATTTTTTATTACTAATTTTCGACATCTTAATCTCCTCGAAATGCATCATCGCTTTATATTATATTGTAAATAAATATGGGATGCTCCTTTTGTAGTCTCTTTCCTTTTTTATTTTATTTTAATAGTGGTTTCGTGTTCGGTGCTACCATGCGTTTCACAATGATACTTATTTTATTATGTAACATTATATTCGTAATCCTAGTGATTATATGCTACCTTGACATACTTCAATAGATTAACGCATTTATGTCCGACTAGAAAGTCGTGAGTTTGAATCATTCCATTCGATATGTTTTATTAAAAAAAAAATCCTATTAGTTCCGTATTTTTCAATTAAATTATAATACATGGGAAGAGTTCTATACTTTAACATTTTTGAATCGGTCGCCTCATATTTCTTATTAACTTTTGGCTTGATCCATAAGAATTAAATTAATAGGTTTCTTATGAATTAAAAATACAGTAGTGATTCATGTGAAGGATATTTCTGCAATATGCTTTTACAGAACACTCTAATTTTTTATTTTTTTTAAAGTCCTAAATAGAAAACCATGATTTGTAATTTTTAGTTTTTTTTATTGGATTTTACCTAGATTTAGACCATCCCCATTTGTTATTAATTTAATATTCCTTGCTTCTCTCGTGATTGAAAATCATAAAGAAAAAAAAGACACGTTAATTAAACAAGTTATCCTTTTAAAAAATTACAATTGGGTGTAATCAATAGTTTAAATCTGTTTGAGAAAAATAAAATTCCTGTGTCTTAAAAAATTAAAATCAGTTCATTTTCTATAAAAAAAATAAAATAAAAAAGACTAAAATTTCTCAAGTATTTTGAGAAAGTACTAAAATATAAATACGACGATTCCTCGTTTGGTTGGTATACAACGATCCACCGGGGCCAATAATTTAAAACTTACCCAATAAATATTATTATTATAAGGATAAGATAAACCAACAGAAAATAATAATAACAATAGATATATATATATATAGAGAGAGAGAGAGAGGGTCAATAGCGTCATTTCACGAGTAAAGGGAAAAGTAGGAGTACACATATCGATCATTTCAAACCTATTACCAATAATTGAGTTTAGAGAGAGAGGGAGAGAGAGCAAATGATAAAATAATATTAAATATCTTTAATAAAAAAACATTATAAAAATAGATAGTTTGACAAAACGAAGCGTTTAAAATAATATAAAATTTACTTTCTATGAATGGATACCGAACGTCCACGTCGACGGGTTTCCAATAAACTTGCCGACAACATGCCCCCCATTAAATAAATGGGCAAAATTTATGCTCCATTTGTAGTTCTCTCTTCTCTCATCTCTGCCTTTCCCAAATTGTTGATTTTATTTTATTTTATTTTACAATTTAATAATTTAGAATTTAAATTTAATAATCCCACGAATCAGATTTAAATCTTCAAAAAGCAATTTCTCCTCTCCTTATTTTCTCTGCATTAAACTTTAATATAAAAAAGTAGCTCTTATTCATTTTCACATAAATTTATAGATAATATAAAAAGTCTAAGTCGTATTCAATATCTTATAACAACATTGACAATTCATAATATTTGAAAAGAACAGCTAATCATACACCATCCAAATACATATATCTCTAATTAAAATATGGTGGATTAGCAAACAAAAATTGAAAATAGCTAAAGCCACTAAGAATTTGATACAAACTTTTCAAATAAAAAGAAAAATTAAGAATTTAAGGTTAAAAAAAGATTTGGTCCCTATAAAGTAACAATTTAGTCCCTGATCTTTAGTTTGTAACGATTTAGTCTCTATAGTTTCACTAAAATAATAATTTAGTCCTTAAACTTTAACTTGTAACGGTTTAGTATCTGTCATTTAAAATTTGTAACAATTTAGTCCCTATTGTAAAAAAATTTATTAAAATTAAGTATCAAATTTTATCGTATAACAATTTAATCTTTGTAATTATAAACAATATTGGTTCCTCTTTTGTTTGTCAATCTATATATATAAGAAATTTAACAAAAAAAAAATCACGATAAAGACTAATTCGTTACCAACTTTAAATTACAATGACTAAATTGATACACACTAAAGTTTAAGGACTAAATTATTATCAATATGAAGTATAGGGACTAAATCGTTACAAACTAAAGTTCAAGTACTAAATTGTTACTTTAACCAAAGCACAGACAGCAAAAGGTGTTTTTTAACCAAAAATTAATCTTCTCTTCCCTCGGATATTGCTCTCTCCTATAGTGGTGGTTAGAGATTTATGATGATCATACGGAAGATAAACATTATTCAAATCAAAAGCATATATAAGAGTGGAAAAATTTTTAAATTATAGAAATTGAATTGAAATGAAAGGACAACACATAGGGACTTAATTTAGCATATTTTAAAACATCATTTTTATCCTTTAAAGAAAAAGAAAAAGAAAAAGAAAAATAGTTTTTAATAAAATATTTAGTGGAAATGTGTCGCGTGGGGTTCACGCTGATTTAAAAGCAGTAAATGCGTGTGGGTGAGTTTGGCTTTGGTTTTAATGCTTCATCATCATAGTGCGGTTTGAATCAAAGTTTTTATTTGTTGGTGCCTACTGCCTACTTGCCTACTTGGGCCAATTTGCAACCTCAATTTAATTGCCTTTTCTTTTATTATTATTATTATTATTTATTCTTATCCTCTATTTCTTTCTTCTTTTAGGTAATTCTATTTGATTTTGGCTAACAACTTTTGGAGTGTTTGGTTTGGTTCGGTTCACTCAACTTTTCTTTTTTAATAATAATATTTTATATATTCTCCATTTAATTAAATGTGCAATCCTTAAGAATTTTTTATTATTAATTTATAAGAATGTGGCATTAGATATTTTATGAGAATATTATATACATACTAGGGTAGATTTTGATGTGATTTTTCGTTAAATTACAAGTTTGTTTTGAGCTTTTAGAATTCTATCTTATTTATTTGAAGTTTTATTTAATTGTAAATATTTATTGTACATAAAATTGAAAGATTGATAAAATCACTCTTTTATTAGACACAATCTTTATAGTTTGGAGATCAAACTTTTAATTTTGACCGATAATTTATTGAACTTTAAGTGAGGGGCGATTTTCTAGACTCCTTTTTTGTCTTTTCCTTTTTGGTTCGTATAACATACATTGATTGTGGTCATTTAAATGAACAATTATATTTTGAGATTTGTGAGGGAATTGAAAATTTATATCGTAGTAAAAATAGTACATTACATTTATGTCATTCATTGACACATTTAAAAGTATATTTTTGAGTAAAAATGGTTCAAATTCAAGGGATAAATTAAATAAAGATTTTGTTAGAGGTTAAATTACCAATCAAATTCCTATGATGAATTAAAGTTAAGGAAGTGACATGTGTCAAACTACTCATGTCAAATCGTTCAAGTCGGACCATTAAGCTAAACCAAACCTTAGTCAACTCAAACTTAGTCAAATTGGTCCATCCAAACCAATCAAAGAAATTCTCTTTATAAATATGAGAAGATGTTTGGTGTGTGAGGTACACTCTCACAACTCTACTTTAACCTATTCTTCAATTGAGCCTTTTGATAACTTAACATCGAAGTGTATAAAAGTTAGCATCATATTAATGTGAGAGTGTTTGTCATAATTGTTTATGCAGGAGATTGGAACCAAATTACCATCAATACCCTTCAAATTTACGATGAATATATTTTTCCTAGAAACATGATAAATATATTTAAAAGTACCAACAAAAAG